CTGGAGCCATATCGGTTGACTTGAAATGGCGCGCAGGGCTCGTGGCGGTTGAAGTTGTAGGGCAGTATATTAGTTCGCATCGAATGACTTCGGGGGAATTGACTTGAAGGGAGGCAGCAGGGGTCAGTGGCTGGGCGAGCGGTGAGGATATGAGGATGGGCAGCGTCGTTTGCATTAGGAAGAAATTCTAGGTGAGCTGGCTTCAGACGGTCAACAGAAACGGTTTCTTGCCGTCCATTGTAGTCGATGGTAAAAGTTTTAGCTGCCCTGGAAAGTACTTTGTGAGGCCCAGAGTACGGTGGTTGCAGGGGCCTCTTGGTTCCGTCTCTTCGCAGAAATATGTGACTGCAGTTGTCGAGGTCGTTCGAGACGTAAACTGCAGTTCGATCTTGTGTGCGTGGGAGCGTGGGCCGGAGGTTTTTCATTATCGTTCGAAGCTGGTTTGTGTATGTCATGGGATCGGGAGCTGGTTCTTGTAAGGCGGATGCAAAAAATTCGCCTGGTAGGCGAAGAGTTGAACCATATACCAGCTCGGCTGGGCTGTAGCCAAGGTCCTTCTTCAAAGCTGCTCGTAATCCGAGAAGTACGATGGGCAAGCTTGTATGCCATCTGTTTGGTTCAGGTTGCGCCATTAGGGCCGCTTTAAGTGAACGATGGAAGCGTTCGACGAGGCCGTTTGCCATGGGGTGGTAAGCTGTTGTTCGAATGCGGCTTGTTCCTAAAAGTGAGAGTAGTTGGTGGAAAAGTGCAGACTCAAACTGACGTCCCCGGTCGGTTGTGATAGTGGATGGGACGCCGAATCGGGAAATCCAGCCCTGGATGAAGGTGCGAGCCACGGTGTCCGCTCGGATGTCTTGGATTGGAAGTGCCTCCGGCCAACGGGTAAACCTGTCGACGCAGGTAAGGAGGTAGCGGAACCCCTCACATGGTGGGAGGGGTCCCACAATGTGGATGTGGACGTGGTCGAAACGTTCTGTGGTAGTTGGGAATGACTGAAATGGCGCGTAAGTATGACGCTGGACCTTCGACTTCTGGCATTCGATGCAGGTTCTGGTCCAGCCGCGTACGTCTGTGTTGATTCCGGGCCAGAGAAATCGCTCAGTTATAATTTTTTGTGTAGCCCGAATGCCAGGGTGGGAAAGGCCGTGCATGGAGTCAAAGACTTGTCTGCGGAAGTCGGTGGGTATGAAGGGTCGTGGTGTGCCTGTTGACAGGTCGCAGACCATTTTCTTGGTAGACGTAGGTAAGATAATCTCATCGAATATTAGTCGACCAGGGAATTGACGCATCTGTTGAAGCTCCTTGTCCCGTTGTTGCGCTGAGCTAATGACGTCAAAATCGACAGCGGGCGGAAAGCTCAGTCCGCCAGCAAACGAAGCACACCGGGACAACGCGTCGGCTACAGGATTATCGACGCCTTTCACGTGACGGATGTTGGTTGTAAACTCGGCGATGTAAGCCAAGTGCCTTGTTTCGCGAGGTGAATATGTGTCCCTGCCACCTTGCAAGGCGTATGTGAGAGGTTTGTGGTCCGTAAGTACATAGAACTGCGTGCCTTGTAGAAAATTTCGAAAATGCCTTATAGCAGTGTAGATCGCCAGCAGCTCGCGCCCGAAGGTGCTGTAGCGTTGTTCCGCTGATGTGAGCGTTCTCGAAAAGAAAGCAATAGGCTTCCAGATTCCCTCTATCAACTGCTGTAGAACGGCACCTACTGCAACTTCAGAGGCGTCGACCATAATGTTCGTTTTTGTGTCGTGTTGAGGATGTGAAAGAAGTGTAGCGTTTGCCAGTTCACCCTTAATTCGGCTGAAAGTCTGCTCTGCAGTCGAAGTCCATTCTAAGGGGGTTGACGGGGGCTTGCTCCCTTTTAGGAGTGTGGTCAGCGGTGACAGGACTGCGGCGCACTGGGGAACAAATCTTCTATAAAAGTTGACAAGCCCAAGGAATTCCCGGAGTTGGCGAATGGTTTTAGGTATTGGGAAATTGTTGATAGCTTCCACCTTTTGTGTGAGAGGTCGTATGCCATGTTGGTTAACTTCGTGGCCCAGAAATTCGAGTGTTGTTGCTGCCAGCTTGCATTTTCCTCGGTTAATATTGACTCCATATTCGGCGAGGCGCTGGAACAGCTGCCGCAGGTGTTGGACGTGTTGTGTCTCATCCTGGCTGAAAACTAGTAGATCGTCGACGTATGCGAAGCAGAAAGGCAAGCCTCGAAGGACGGTGTCAATGAACCGCTGAAAGGTTTGGGCTGCATTTCTGAGTCCGAACGGCATCCGGAGAAACTCGAAAAGGCCGAAAGGTGTTGTAACGGCCGTCTTGGGAACGTCTGCCGGCTCCACAGGTATCTGATGGTAGGCCTTGACGAGATCTATTTTCGAAAAAATAGTGGAGCCGCGAAGAGAGAGCGAAAAGTCGTGAATATGTGGTATTGGATATCTGTCCGGAAGAGTGGCGTTGTTAAGGGCGCGATAGTCTCCGCAAGGGCGCCAGTCTCCAGGTTCTTTCTTAGGCACCATATGGAGGGGCGAGGCCCATGGACTCGAGGATGGACGGATGATGCCCAATTCAAGCATATGCTCGAATTCGGCCCTGGCAATCTTGAGACGTTCTGGAGCCAGCCTTCGTGGTCGAGAATAGGTGGGAGCACCCGTGGTAACAATATGATGCGTCACATCGTGTGGTACCGGTTTCGAAAAATTATTAGGACACGTCAGACTCTTGTATTCATTAAGAAGTCTATCGTAAGGTGTCGGAGAGTGATGAGGGATGGACGGGGGAGGAAGAGGCGACGTCATTCTTACTCCCTGTACAGTCAAACGAGTGGTGTCGTCTACCAGGCGAAGACGAAGCATGTCTACAAGGAGGTGGTAATGACGGAGGAAATCAGCTCCAAGTATAGGGTAGGAAACCGCAGCGATGAGGAATACCCAGCGAAACGTTCTGCGGAGCCCTATGTCGAGGGTGAGGGAACGTTCTCCATAAGTTGCAATTGGTGTCTTGTTGGCAGCCTGCAATGTACACGGCTGTCTCTTACTCGGATGGATGCTTGGCGGTACGAGAAGGATGCTCACCTCGGCGCCCGTATCAACGAGAAAGCGTAGCTTGGAGTTTTGGTCGGTTACGAAAAAGAGGCGGGTGGGATGGCGAGCGCTCCGACTGGCCGCCTCTAGCGGGCGCTGGGCAGTTTTCCGACGCCCTGCATGGCGCGCGACATTTTTGGGCCTTGCTGCCAAATTTCCAGTGGTACCAGCAGATTCCTGGCGGAGGGGAACCAGCTCGTGATGGTGGATTTGAAGATCGTCGTCTTGAGGGGGATCTTGACTCATGTCGTGATCTGGACTCAGCCCCTGTTAAGAGTGCGTTCACTTGCAACGCCAGGCGGTTGATCTGCTGCCGCATGTCCTCCATAGCAGTAGATTGTGGAACGTCATGTGTTGAAGCGTCGGTTGCTGATTTGTGGGAACTTGAAGCAACCATAGAGATGTTAGGGGAGGCCACTTCGGCGACTCTGTCCGCCAGCTGAGCTAAGGCGTCGATGGAAATATTCGCTGTTGGTGCGAGCACCATTCTGACGTTCGCCGGCAAACGTTGGAGGAACAATTCCTTCAGAAGCGAGGGATCAAAAGTGGTCGGAAAATCTCCGAGTAGTTGCTGGAGGCGGCGAAGCATTTGGGACGGTGTCCTGTCACCAAGTTCTTCGGACGTCAGCAACGGTTGGAGCCGTCGTTGCTCAGAAATGGATGTTCGCCTCACCAGCTCAGCTTTTAGGGTATCATAAGGGTTCTGGGGTGGTGGAGCGAGGATGAGGTCCCGCACCTCTGTCGCAATTTCCGGTGACAAAACTGCGATGATGTGGTGGAATTTCGTAAGTTGTCCGGTGATTTTTGCTGTGGCGAATTGCGCTTCCACTTGGGCGAACCACAAGAGAGGATCAGATGGCCAGAACTGAGGAAGGCGAAGACGAACCGCCGCGATATTTCCGTCCTCTTGATTGGTGGTCATGGTGAGGCTGGTTTCGATGAAGACGGTCAGGGATGGTGGAGTAACCGGGTCACCAAATATGTAGGAACCAAAGTCTTGGCACTACATATTTATGTACATTATTTACAAGGATAAACGGGTCGGTGATGTTCACTGCTTGCCGGAACGGTCGAGCGCGCGGCTTGAGAGCCCGTTGATCTCTCGTGTCCCGAGCTCCTTCCTTCTCCCTTTCTTCTTTTTCATCTGTGGGCGGTCAATGTATGCCAATGCCCACAATACTAATATAATAAGTTTTATTGGCTCAGAAGTGCCGCGCCACCACAGAAGGCAACAGCTCGTACAATGGAGGGCCGCGGTGCCGCGTCTAGTGATGGTGATTTTGTGGTGATATAACATACAATATTAAAATGATAGTGACTCTTATAAGATATGTACAAGTGGTTAGGCCTAGCAGCGGTCTTCGCGACGGTTGCATTCCCGAGTCGCCGTGGGCAGCTGACTTCTGGCAGGCCAGTCTCGAGCACCTGGCGCGGGCTCTCTGCATGACCGCTTGAAGACACGCCGGCCGAATTTTCGACAACGCAGGGACTCCAGCACCCCTGTGGTGGGGTCCGAGGGTTGGCGCCGATTTTGGCCGGGCAACGGCCTTCGCGAAAGCGGGCCTTGGAATCTCTCAGCTTGCGGTCAAACTTGTAACCAACCAGCGGTAGCAGCCTGTCGATCGAAGACATGGTGTGTGCCACTAATCAGGCTGGCTTTCTGACGATGGAAAACAATAAAATAATAAAAAAAAAACATTAAAGTACTAGGTCTGTTAGAAAAGTATCCGTCCTTATTATTATTTTTTTTTTGCCGAACACCTCATGGGTACGAAACAAGCGCGCTTTCATCAGCCGACCATGAACCTTCGTACGCATGCCTGAATATTTTCCCGCCTGCCGATAACGTCAGTCGCTGGGACGCAGCGTTTGAGTGAGGTAGTGCGCAGTGCTCTCGTCGGTTTTTTTATTGGAAGGAAAATGGCGGAGCGACTGGAGCAGCGCTACTGCATCAAATTTTGCCAGAAACTGGGCGACGGCCAAGTGGAAACCATTCGGAAGATTCCGATGGCTTTCGGGAACGATGCTATGAGCAGCACACAGATTAAGAAGTGGTACAACTGGTATAAAGACGGCCGCACATCGGTGGGGAGCGAATCACGCCCACGTTTGCAGGGGACCACATACTGATACTGTAATTGAACAGTGGTACCAGCTAAACCCTGGTGTGGTGCTCAACTCATTCATGCTGGCACTCTGTAATTGTGTGATGACATCAGTTCGAGTGCATAGGCACTGCGTGCTTGCATTGTTAGGTACTGTTAGAAAGACACCCTTGACTGCCTAACAACCGAAGGTGTCCTAGCGAAGAATTGCTGCAGAAGAAGAAGGTCGGCCATCAACATGCCAAAAGGACCAGGTCATTGCCGAATTGAACGCTGTGGTGATACGGGACCGTCGTGTGACTATCCGTGAAATTGCGGAAGAGGTGGGCATCAGCACTTTTTCTGCGCATTCTATTATGACCGGAGATTTGGCTATGAAGCGAGTTGCGGCGAAATTCGTGCCAAAGCTGCTCACGGTGGAGCAAAAGCAACTTCGTGTTGAAGTCTCACAAGACCTGCTGGATTCCACATACAGTAACCCCGGCTTCATGAACACCATAATCACTGGTGACGAGCCTTGGGCGCACGGGTACGACCCGGAAACCAAATCCCAGTCGTCACAGTAAAAGCGTTCCACGTCAACAAGATAAAAGAAGGCCCGCCAAGTGCGCAGCAACGTCAAAGTGATGCTGACTGCTTTCTTTGACTCCTGAGGTGTGGTACACCACCAGTACGCACAACAGGGTCAAACAATCACCAAAGGGTACTCCAGGGATGTCGTCCGTCGCCTACCTGATGCTGTGCGGCGCAAGAAACCGGAGTTGTGGTCAACAGGAAATTGGCGCATCCATCACGGCAATGCTCCTGCACGTTCCTCGCGCTTGATTCAGACTTTTTTGGGGAAAAACCAGACTTCTGTAGTTCAACAGGCTCCTTACTGTCCTTCTATGGCCCCTTGAGACTTCTGGCTGTTTTACAAAATTAAGAGGCCATTGAAAGGAGCGTGATTTCAGACAAGAGAGGACATAATGGCTGCAACGACAGCTGAGCTAAACTCCACTCCGAAAGAGGCCTTCTCGGAATGCTTTCAACAATGGCAGCACCGCTGGGAGAAGTGTGTGGAGTCCCAAGGAGACTACTTTAAGGGTGATTAGGTTTCAAACGCTCCAGTTGCGCCAGTTTTTTTTCTTCGGACAAAGGTTGGATAGTTTTCTAACAGACCTCATATAAACAAACTTTAGAGATTTTACTCATCGCTAAATCGTGACGCTGTTATCATATCCAGTTTGGTCTCGGTGGACGCGAGCGGTCCGGATTTCAAGGGGGAGTTTCCCAACTGAGTGATTTAGTAACGTTGGCAGTAGCTGTGCATGGCCGTCGCCATAACCGACTTTCAGTTTTATTTCCTTTTATTGTGTTTACTTCACTTCATGATGACCCCAGCAGGGCAGGTTATTGCCATTCTAGATTCGACAGTGTCCTTCCCCCCGGCATCGGCCCTTGTAGAAGCTCGTCAACGCACGCTTTACTGGATCGGCATCTGAGTAGGACAAGAGGTTAGCAATGGCGGCTGTCATCTTGCGCGTGTCACCTCTATATTCCCCAGCACTGGCACCAGGCATGACGTGTTTATTTCAGCTTTTTTCAAGTAGCAAGAGTGCGCGTGCATAGGTTTGATAGGCGCTGAAGATGTGCGAGCGCCGAGATTCCGAAAACTCTGAATATAATGTAATTTTCCGAGAAGGGGGACTTCTCTGGTACTATGAGTAATATTTTTACAACCTCCGTGCACCAAATAAAAAAAAAACTAATTTAACTTATGTGATTTTAAAGGCCACATAAAGACCATTTAGGTGACTTTCTTCAAATGCAGAACCGCATACCTGCCGGACAAGCCGATGAGAACACAAGTCAAGATTAACAATTCTTGGTGAACCTAAATGATTTTGTTGGCAACGCTCCACGTAGGCTTTACCGACAACGTCGCAGACTCAGTGAGTCAGTATGAGCGCTTGCCCTTGTTAAAATAAAGGGGCTGAAAAAGGCCTCCGAAACGTTGCGCTTTAAGGAACAGCTTGGAACTGGATCTAAATAAATGAATCGAGCATTTCATTTTAGCAAACCTTCAGTACGAGCTGCGACAAACTTCTGCGAACTTCTGCGAACTTCTGCAGAGAAGCAACCAAAGACTGGACGAGAACATCATGAGCTCTGTCGAATAAGTTCTCCGCTTTATGGGTCATACCGATCCGTATGCCAGTATAGGAATGAAGGTGCATTTCATTAAGAGGTATTTAAGAAACGACATTTTTGGATGGGCTCGCTCGGAGCTCACAGATAACCGTCGACGCATTTATGCCTAAGACGATGAACACTGTGCGAGCCCGAACCGCCATGCAGAGTCATGGTCGTCGAGCCACCCGGCCATGTCGACTTCACTACAACCGTCATACTGCACCACCGAATCCACCGCTCTGCGTTAGCTTTTAATTCTTCTGAGCAAAGGTCTACCACATGAATATTGAAGTTTCCTCAAATATTTACTGCCCTGTCACCTGTCATTCGTTATTTTATTCTTCTCAAGTTTACTTTGTTACTTCTATACATATTTTCATTTTATTAAATATTAGATACACAACAGTGCTGGCGATCTTGCTGGAATCAAAATGACTCATCTTCACCGGCTCCGTGGCTGCAATGATGAAGAGTAGCTGTGTAGGCTAGTTCGCTGGTCATTTCATAAAACGTTTTGAAAATGTCCTAAAACAGGTTGGTCATTTCATAAAACAAGACACAAAATCCTCGTTTGTGTCATGTCCTCCCTTCGTCCTCGCATCTGCTGCGCACTCACAAGTTTTATGAAAGACTGCTATGATATGTCAATTTTGCGGCAAACGTTTTGAAGAAAGTAAGTTGTAGGAATAATGTAAAGATTTATTGCGCATTTTATAACACTCAATTTTATTATTACCAAACCATCCTCCAAGTGGCTCAGTGGCTTTGTGTTGTCGCATTTGAGACGCAACAAGCCTGACAGTCTTGCGTGCCAAGATACTGCGCTTACTGCAGTACTCCATTTATCCTTCTATTAACATACGCTTCTTAATACACTCCTGTGAAAAAAACACAAACAAACAATCAGGCTGTAACATTTTCAGCCATATTATTTTTAACGAACATGTTCCCGGCGTAATAGGCCTTTTTCAAAAGTGCTCTCAATACAGAGGTGCATTCTCACTGGCATTCGAGTCGTAGTCGCGAAACGGATCTGCTCGTTTTCGTCATCAAACGTGCGTGAAGTTGTTTAAGCAACGCGTTCCCAACCCCTTTGCGAACGCTGTTCATCTGCCAGTATGAATGCGGAGTAGATAGTGATTGTGTGTACAATTATCCCACTCTGATATTCCTACTAAACACACTTTTAGTACATGGAGGTATAAAGCTTATGGATGTGACGTGACGTGGCCAGAACTGAAGCCAGAAGTTTGGAGGAACACGCCCTCAATGATGAAAGAAACCACAGCCCTAGAATGCCCGGCGGGCATCCGAGGGTGACCAAAACAGCTGTGGTCTAAGTCATCATTGGGGCGTGTCCCTTCACACTTCTGTCTTCACCCCTGGTGATGTCATGTAGCCTACGGAAGCCTTCTACCTCCGTGGTTTAGCATCGATTGTTCACAAGGCCTGTCAACCAAAGTGGCTTGAAGAGACTTTCTTAAAGGGTCTAATGACAATTTCTGGGCGAATAACAGGGGAGTTAGTGCAACCAACAACATGCACACGTCAATGCCGCCGGCTATGTAGACATCATTTTTTTTTCTTACAGATATTTCTTGTATATAAGACTGGGTCACAATTTCGTGTTTACTTCGCAACTTGATGGTGTTATAAATATAACTTAATCGCATTCAAATGTCCATGAGCAAAATTTTCACTATCGATTTTTAAGACGCTCACGAGTTAACAATGAAACATTTCAAACTTTTATTTTCTTGTCATATCGATGTAACATGATCTTGTTTTCTCTGAATGATCGAACAGAAACAACTCCACTTGACCAGATTGCGGGCACGGCCTTTTCCGAGCGTGTCACATGCGCGAAAATAAAGCTTGGTAATAACTCGCAATCGTATTGCTTTTTATGTGAACGCAGCAAGCACTTCGTTTCCTCAAAGCCAACTTAGGCCAAAAAAAAAAAAAAGATTTTTTAATGTCTTTAAATCACTCATGAGTGTTGCGGGGATCTCGCGGATCCCTATAAACATAACCAAAGACTGCGGGGTGCGCGATTGGGCGTGTAAGCTGCGGCCTCCGAGATCTGCTTTTTTTGTGTGCGTGTGCTTGTGCGTTGTTGCTTCTGTGTTTTCCTCTATTCCAATATAGTTTTATATAACTATCGACGCCGAGCAGCGGACGCTGCGGGATTCACATGTATGCGTGTATATATATATATATATATATATATATCAGGCACGTAGCCAGGATTTTGTTCCGGGGGGGGGGGGGGGGGGGGGGTCCCCACCGATGACAAAATGCTGTATGAAGGGGAGGGGGGAGAGGAGGTCCAGCAAAATGGGAGATCTTGGGGGGGGGGGGGGGGCGAGCCCCATGGGCTCCCCCCTGGCTACATGCCTGATGTATATATATATATACAGGGTGTTTCAGAAAACGCAGGCCAAACCGCTCCTGTGAAATCTACTTATCGCATCGAAAAAAGGCTTGTGGCGTTGTGGTCCTGGGCCAGCGGCCCATATAAGAAAATTATTAAAGACCGGGATAATTAACTTGTTAATTATTTTTGCCTAATTAACTTTTTAAATATTGTGTTTAAGGGCATGGTTTAAATAAGAAAATTGCTCAGCATCATCGAAAACCACTAAAGCAACAAATTGCAGAACGATAGAGGGCACGCGAAGCATTTTACGGCTTTCTGAGAAACCGCAGAAATTCGACGGGTTTGTAAGTTTCGGTTTGTTATCGGAGCGCATCTCGGCCCCGGCAGCACCGCGCCCCGTGGAGAGATAGTGCAACCAGACTCTGCTGCGTCGCGCGATGACAGCGCAGCAGAGGTTGGCCGCACTATCTCTTCGCGGGGCGCGGTGCTGTCGGGGCGGAGATGCGCTCCGATAACAAACCGAAACTTGCAAAAATATTCCAAAAGCCGGGAGATTTCATGATTAAAATAAGAACACCGACTTCACATAACAAGAAAAACAACTTCATTAAACGTTTCGCCTCCCATGCGGGAGGCATCATCAGTACACACACAGGAGTGAGAGAGCTTCGGTCAACGCAGTCCTATCTATCGGGAAGGTCCATATAAGCCTCCGGGAGGGGGCCACGGTTCTTGTTGCACGCCGTCTTATCTCCGCGGATGAACCATGACTCAAGTAGTTTGCGTGGGTCCCACCTATCCTCCTTCGCCAAGGTCGTCGCGGCTGTGAAGTCAAAGGTGTGTCCTGTGGTCCACGCGTGGTCGACCAGCTCCGTCTTGAGACGGGTGGCGTTCGTGGAATACTTGACGTCACGTTGGTGTTCTTTCATCCTGGTTATCTTCTTGCGTCCGGTCTCTCCAATGTACGAAGAGCCGCAGTCCTGGCAGGGGATCTTGTACACAATGCCTTTC